ACTGAACTTTATTTGGTCCGTTGACCTTTCAGGCATGATTGGATCTACGGCTGTGAAAAACCATCCTGTGTAGCTCGCAGGGTCATTGAGGTGCGCAAGCCATCACACCACGTCAAGGTGCAGTCTCGTCGTGATGTTCATTCAATACCTACATTTTGGAGACCACTCAGTGCGTTCTCCAGCATTTCGTCTATGACGAAATTGAATACAAATGGTGACATGTGGTACCCTTGACGAACACCGCTCCTGGTTTCGTTGGACTTATTTAGCTCACCGTAGACCCCCTACATTACCAGAAGTATGCAGGTACAGCGACCGTAATAGATTCACACTCGTGGCATCCCTTGGCGAAGCAGCGAGTTCGTAAGAGCTTCACGGTCAACCGAATCTAAGGCTCCTTTTAAGTCAAGGATTACTGCGACTGTTGGTCGATGATGGGTGTGGCGCAACTCGAGGACTTGACGTAGGGTGAAGAATTGATCGATGCAAACTCTTCCTGGTCGGAATCCTGCTTGCTGTTCTCGGATATTCATCTCCCTTAAGGATGTCAGGCGGTGAAATATCACAGAAGTCAACACATTTGTGATGATCGGTGCTAAACTTATCCTACGGTGGTTTGCACAGTCGTTGCGTGATCTATTCTTGAAGATCGGAACGATCAAAGATTCATTCCAGGATAAAGGAATACGCTCCTCCAAACAAATTCCGCGACGTAAGCTAGTAATCAGGTGGACGAGAGAGTCACTACCAAGCTTGAAAAGAATGGGAAGAATACAGCTTCGTACTTCTAATTCTGTTGGAGGCTCACATGTTACCACACATGGAGTTTCCACCGCAATCGACGGAATAACGACATTAGCACTAAACCAATTGAACTGTTCACCAAAATACTCTGCCCAGCGATCCAGTTGGTTCTTTGTTGTCTACTTTTATCGCAAACGGTCTCACTGACCGGTATATGTGGACCTCCGGTGCTGCGTATCAGGTGAAACAGTCTTTGAATACTCGCCATTTCACTAGCTATTTCGGTTCACTAGTTTGCGCGATCATAAGGCTTTTCTTAGTTGGCGTTGCAGGTGCCACCACTCTCTATACTGATCTTTCGCTTTTGATTCCTCAGGATTACTGATTTCTGAGAGAATCGATTACTTCGGGGAACCTCGGACTCTGTCCCATAAGCAAAGTTTGCTGCTGAGTGCATCGCATATCTAACTTGATCCCACTGTTGGTCTGCTACATTTAGTCGCTCCCCTCCTCAAAACGTGCACAGACGATGATGAGCTAACTGAGGAGGTGATTTCCGCCGATGACTGATGAGTCGAAGAGTGAGGAGCATCATACCTAGTGCATCTGACTCAACGAAGGTTGTCCAATAGGATTCGTAGTTTTGTCCTGAACCACACCAACGGCAGTTTAATGCTATTTGGTCAATGTGGATCAACTTTCTTGTTGAAATAGAACACCATGTAGCCGTTCAACTAGAGATGCGTTGAAGGTTGGTGTTCGATAAGAACAACTGATGATCCGCGTAGAACTGAAGTAGTCAATCACCGTTGTCTGTTTGCTCAGAGAGAAGAGCAAAATGCCTTCCTAGACAGGCTTCGGATGCGCTCAGTTTTCCAACCTGCAAGCACAAGTGCATATATATATATATATATGATTAGAGGCTCATGAGATAACTTCCAACCGGCATTTTCTCTTATCAGTAGATATCACTGAAAGTCGTATGTATGCACTGCCAAACTGTGGGCTTACCATACGGTTTGTATTCTTGTCTTATTCCAAAAGTTTAACGGCTTCCTGACCACCTCACACGATCGTGCACGAAATTCAATATTCCATTTCAGCTGTTCCTTATATTTTTAAACCTCAATACAACTCTGAACATTGGTCATTCGAAAATGTTTGCACAGTACAATACAATACTATTTTAATACGCATTCAGATATCCCTCCGTTACTGAGGGTCTCTGTGGAGCTACCGTCATGTTTTATGATAGATTAAAACCCCTTGGTGATATGACTTATGGAACTTTTCACTCGTAAGATTATCATTCCATCAATCTTCCTTTCCACGTATGTCTATATGATTTGATTAAGCATATTACAATGTTTTGTGATTAAATCATACAACGCCTTCTGTAGTTTACGCTCGGGCCATATAGACAAATAGTTCGAACTATGTTGCTGTATCTTAGTCTTAAGTAAGCCCGTGTGAGGTTGGAGAAATTTAAGCTTCGCATATTGCAATATAAGGCAGTCCTTTCGGAGCCGTCCCATAGAGTCCTAGATGAGTCCCGATTTGGACGCAAACGGACTCCAAGTGGACGCGTCTAGGACTCCAATGGGACGGGTGTGCGGACTGGGCCATATGGACCAGGTTTTCTACCCATGCGTTGTCTTGAGACCAAGGGTAACCAAAATCTGGAACACGATTCAGAAAAATGGTGAGTGGTCTCCAGACGGTTACACTCTATGGAGGTGTTCCGAAGCTAGGCGAAACTGGATTTCAACAATCGTTGAGAGTAGGCTCATGTAAAGCACTAGTCAATCATTGCATAGAGAAGCTGTGCGAGCCACCTCGTCGCCAGTCACATTGGATGTTCGAGGAAGCTTTTATTCCCCGACCACTGTGTATGTTTAAATTATTTTTCTACTATTACATATAGCGGATCTTCCGTCGGAACCATGCCAATGATCGCAGAAACGCAAGAAACTTAACAGGTATTTTTTGGTTACGTAATAATGTAGCTCATTGTAGAGAACGAATCAGCTACAAATGAGCTCACTGGCCTGCAGATGACTGCGGGGCGGTCTTATGGAGAATTTTAAGATTGTCAAATGGCTTTCAAGTCTAAAGTTCGAAGACCATTTCTCGTTTGTTCCTGTCAGGGGCACTAGAGCAGCATCAACTTAAACTGGAAAGAAGTCATTGTAGAATAAATCTAAGTGCTATGCTTTTCACAATTGGGTTATACCACTATGGAGTAAATTGCCTGAAGCGGTGGTTAACTGTATTAGTGTCGACTCTTTTAAGAGAAAGCTAGACGATTGCTAGACATTAGTATTTCCCGAAGTTGAATGTTGAAAGTTAACCTTGGGCTTTACTTTCCGGAACCTTTTATGGGATCTGATACTGCACACTAACACTCAGCTTTTCAGAAAACCCTATTCTCTCGCAGTGTTGGAAGCTAACGAAACCGCTGATAACACAAGGAACTGGACGCGCAATTGGCAAGAGCCACAATTTGTTCTATGAGAACTGCACCGAACTGAGCTATAAAAACGTCGCGGTACCCCATTGTGGCTGACAAATAGCGCGCTATTCGCTGACGACATGTTACTTGGGAAATCTTGAGGGAACGATTCCTTCGTACTTAGCTCAAATCAAAATCTGGATATGAACTGTGTATATTGTTCATAACAGAATCACTGCTATACAAACGATTCTGATGAAATATATTTCATTATAATGTGTTTAACATCTCCTCCCCTGTCAGTCATCCCAGTCTGCATTCCGTATCCTACCGACCACCATTAGATCACTTTATCCTAAGTCTCCGAAGTGGAAGAACAACTGAGAGGCGTGAACTCCTTCAGCTCGATGAGTCGGGATAAAATCCATCCGCATATCCTGAAACAATCCGGGGACGTGTTGGCTGCCACATATGCCCAACTCTTTCAAACGTGCTTGGGCCCAGGTACACTACCACAACAGTGGAGAAGGGTGACTGTTATTTCTATATTCAAGGAAAGCGATCGATACTTGCCTACTAGCTATAGGCCTATAAGCCTAACCAACATTCCCAGTAAGATATTCGAACGCCTCCTTAAATGGCGTTTTCGGAGACATCTAACCGAAAACGGTCTGATAGACTCTTGTCAACATGGTTTCCTCCGAGACAATATGTTTAACCCGTGCCTATGACGAATGCTGTATTTCGCGCGCGATCTTTTTAGCATTTGCCGAAGCCTTTGAAGGAGTGCCGCACATTCCTT